TGACACTAGAAGGATGTTTTCACTGCTGAAAGTGGAAAGTTTCTCTGTGGTCATTGAAATCCTGATTTTAAGGGGCAGGGCCTGAGGATGCAGAGCATTGTTGATCATAGATACTGTAGATGTTTAACTTTGAGCAGTAGTGCTGGACATGTGTTTTGCTGTATCAAATATTTAAAAACCTCGATGACCAACTGTAATGACAGGGATGTGCAGAAATACAGTCCATATCAAATGAGTGCAATGTACCTTTTAAGCCCCCATAAACAGGAGCACTGGACGATAATGAGCCTTTCTGCTACTTCTTTATGGTAGAACTTAGTAGTTGTATGTGATTTTTAAAAAATGTTTTACTCTCTTTATACCAGTGGTTCCCAAACATTTTCCTTGTGGGACAGGATCATTGATTAAACCAACAACCCCTCTATGTTATGTATTTTCTATTTGTTTTACCAATCATACATACTTAATATGCTTTTTTGGGACAAATTTAGTGTTTTCTTCTCCCTGACACTCAGCCATTGTTCTATGTTCTGTCCCTTTGGTTGTTTAATTGTACTTTTCCAATGTGGGACAAGGCTGTTTAGCAGAGAGGGAAGGCATGTAAATTTAGCCTCTGTTCAGGTCTTCAAAGTTTACATCTTAAATAAATAATAATCTAAACTTTAAAAACAATATTTAATTTGGTTTTCTTCATAGAAATCAATGAAATGCTAAGATATAGGCCTACTGTGTTTAATTGTTAAGTCAAGCTTACACACCTTAATATCAAGAAGGTCTTGCGACCCCCTGTGAAGCTTTGGTGACCCCTAGTGGTGGTCCAGACTCCCAGGTTGGGAACCACTACTATATACTATGACTGTTTAACTAATGTTACATTTAAAATATATGCAATATATTGCCTTGCTTACATTATTGCAATATATTGCAATATATTGCAATATATCGAATGGCAACCCCTGTATCGTGATACTTATTACTTACATATTGCCAGACTAACACAATTTGGTTTCCTCTATGTCATGGTTTAGTTTTAAGTAAACAAATAATTACAGATATTGGGAAACACACTCATTTGCTTTCTTGCTAAGAGTTAGATGAAGAGATTAATACCAGTCTCATGTCTATACGATAAATATGAAGCTAAAGCCAAGAGACTTTTCTTTAAAACGTTTTTTAACCAAAAGAAAATTATTTATTTCGATAAATCTGAGGCATATGTAAGGAAAACTTGTTTGGATCAAGAATCCAACCTTGCTTCACATTTGCCTTTCAGCCCCTTTTTACCCTTCAGAGTCGGTCTCCAGATGCAACCTTATCTCATCAGCTATGTGTGTGACATGTTTATATGACAAGTTAAACGCATGTAATTTTAGATCGAAACAACTGTTTCTTGGTGTAATGTCAAACTTTTCCAGTCCTAACCACAATCTTAAATGTTGTTTTCCTCTCTGCTGTCTAGTATCAGTATTTTGATCGGCGCTCCGAAAGCCAACACCAGCCAACCCGACATCACCGAAGGAGGAGCTGTGTACTTGTGCCCCTGGAGCCAAGCTAACTGCAGCATAGTCAACTTTGACAAGCAAGGTGAGTGTCTTGTTAAATCCAAATTGACGGTCTCTTTGTATCCACACAGATGAAAATGTGATCTGTGAGACATCAAGCTCAATATTCAAAATTTTCCCTACATCATAACAACACAGCAGCAGTTGGTAACTCAACATTGTTCCAGGATATAAAAATGTCACTTTCCCTAATGGCACTGTTAAACAGCTGAGACAGGAGTGTGCAGTAAAATCTGCCTCTAACCAGCCATAAAAGTGGTGGAGAGAAGCTATAGGTAGCATCCCGAGTTAAGCACCACTGTGCTTAACCCTGAGGTCAGAAGTAGGGCTCCCTACCATCTTACAACCAACGATTCTCTGTTTTGATTGAGACCAGCCTTTGATGCCCCCCCCCTGTGTTTCAATGGTGGCTGAGGACGCTAACGTCTCCATTTTGGGACATTGGCGGTGTTTGTAGTGTTTTCACAGAGCTTTGATTTCCTGCTGGACTCGGGCCCAGTGTTGTGAGCGCTCTCTAATTAGGGCCGAGTCATTACAGGGACAAGGACCCCAGAGGACCCGGGCTGCCCCTAGCTTTGCCAGAAAAATAATCACCTCCATCAGAAATGCAGGAAGCGATAAGGACCACAGTTTGAGGATCACAGGGTCTGACTTATCGTACTCTCTCACATGCCGATATCAAATGGCGGTTTACACAGACCGAGAGCTGCGGCTACGCAAACCCTGTGTACATAAATACACACCTACCAACTGTTTACTAACTGATCTGCAGACAGCCTCTGAAACGTGATACACACTTATGTTCACACACGTACGCACGTATATACACACACATGATTTTACACTCAGTAGTCTTGCTTTTCCCATTACAGGCCTCAGGATTCATGGTGTGTTTGAGGACACAGCCCAGACTTCATTAACATAACCTGCCCACTGAGTTGCAGCCAGGAGAGTTTAATGTCACCACTCTGCTACAGACTGCAGGCACATATATCAGAAAATATACCACAGTAAAAAATACACAGTTACAGGCATATTTAAGTATGATTTTGATTTTGTTTTAGTGCTTAAACTGGGAAAAATGAACGACAAGCTTTTTCACTGAGGCACATTGAAGACATTAGGTTTTGTCAAATGACTTTTCAAGGATGCTGAATGGCAAAATGTTGGCAAATCCCGACATCACAAATTTTTATTTAGTACCTGGATCATGGTTTTCCAAATCAGAAACTTGTTTTTACAGTGTTCCATAGGACATAAAGGCAACCTGGCTCACCTACCTGGCTCTAAAGCGAGGTATTTTTCCAAATTAATTATTATAGCAGCATGTTGTTGAAAGCAAAAATCATGGAGGTGTAATGCTGCTGAAGTTGCAAAAGTAAAACCTTTGGCAGGCAGTACTCAACCACCCCCTCCCTCATCACCGTTCCTTGCCTTCGTACTGCCAGGGCCTCTTCTTAAAACAGACCCTGACAATGAAGTACAGCCGTTTGGGTTACAGTAACAACAATGTCCAAGTCCCTTTGAGCTGTTTGATGTCTGCCATAGCATGGAGGATGGATTAAGACTGCAGACCTCGGGAACAAGGCCATAAAATATCCATGTAAAAAGCCAGGAACATGTGGGGAGCGCTCTCAAATGAAGCTCTGACGGCACAAAAATCAAACACCGATGACAGTGGGATCTTTCACTCAGTTAAAATAGCAACTTCTGACATCTGAAGTTCACAGTTTCTGAGGAATGTGTAGCAACTATGAGTTATTCAGTCACAAACCTGCGTAAATAACAATTAAATATGATTAAATATGCTCTTAAATATGTTTTTTCTTCTTTATTTTCTTCTAGGTGATCGATATTTTTATATAAATGATGTGAACACTCAGGTTGAGTTCAAGTCTCATCAGTGGTTTGGAGCTACTGTGCGTTCCCATGGTAACAGCATCCTGGTAAGAATGGGTCAGGGTCTGTTTACCTGCATTATGCTGTGTGGTTACATGCTGTGAAAATTTTTAAATTCATCTGCCATTTAAAGATATATTTCAGTGCACAAAACAACAGGCTTAAATTGTTGGTGTGCTAGCAGGAGGAGCTGTGGGACTCCATGTGGGGTCGCTTGATGTACAGAGATGAGAAACAAAATAACAATCTGACAACTCTTTTACTATATGATTTGGTACTACAAATATTGTCACTGTCCGGAAAAGGTTTAATAGTTTGTGTTAAACCTCGACTAGCTTTCTTTCCTAAGTCAGAGACAGTAAGAGTGACCCTTTGTTTGCACATGATGGCTACAGTCATGATATCGTGCTAACTTAGCTGGATGACATGGGCATGGAAATAATAGAAGAGCATTGTTCTTGTATTGCAGGGTAGACTAGTTGGCACTGCTACCACAGCCTTGCCTAACAATCACCCATGAGTGTGGCAAATGACAGATACATTTCCGCAAATTAAACAGAACAGCAAAAGTTGGCCGATGTACAATATAGTCAACATCTGAGACTGGCTCCCATGTGGTGGATATGCCATTCTTGAACAGTGCTATTTCCAACAACCTGTTATCACACAAAATCTAGTTGGATAATGCTATGCTACCCCTCGGCCATGGAAGTAGGTACTTCAGAGCACACATTGTTTCATCCATAACTCCCACTTGTTCTTGTGTTTTCCACTTGAAAATGAACCCACCCTCCACCCTTAATGACACTATGAGTATATTTCCTACTGGTTCAGCCACTTCAGCATTTTTAAAAGACTGTGTCTAGTTACAGTTGCTAGGCTATGTTTTGCAAATGTTTGAGGGAAGAGTTTAGCAATGGGTCAATTTAGCATATGGGAGACGTTTGCCTTCAGGGCTTCCTTCCAGAGCATCTTTCTGACCTTTAGGAAGTCCGGTGAAGTAGTATAGAGCAACAAAGACTGCGTGGGTAGGAGGTAAACAGTCACAGTGTGGATGTAGACATCAAAACCACTTGGTTTAGGAAAAGATCATGGTGTGGGTTAAAATAGGGGTAGTTGAATTTTGGTTTCACAGGGGACACAAACAACGGTTTCCTGTGTGACCCATTCAGCCAGACCTCCCCGTCAGCCCTGACTTATTATTTTAACCCAAACTGTGATCTTAACATTAACATTTTTCAGCTAGCTAGCTAGCTAATGTGGTTAGGTTCTTTTGTCATTCATCTGTCTCTCTGTGCTCCCCAGGCTTGTGCCCCCAGGTATTACTGGAGGACTGAACATGACACACCCTTCGCCGATGTTACAGGAACCTGCTACCTCTCTGTAGATGGCCTCAAAACATTTGTGGAGTACGCCCCCTGCCGAACAGGTGATTGAATGCAATGATATCCAACCTCCGGGCGAGGTATGGCCAACGTGATAGCAAAGTTACCCTAATCCAGGGGTTAATCAATAAATCACAGCTAACTGAATCCATGGCAACATTATACTTCCTTTTTACATCCTCCAAAGCCCCCCGATTATTCCAGGACCTAGTGTAATTATTCCCCAAATCATAGTAAGGCAAAGAATAATGAAACAAAAAAACTAAACCCGTTAATATGAACTCTTGTGGCAATACACTATCAATGGTTTTTGACCATACTAAGACTCAGAATGTCTTTACAGCATAGTTCACTGACACTGATATTTGCCCTGTGATTCAAACCTGTGAACACACTTTTTTTTAAATTTCTTGTTTTCTGGATTTTTTACAGTTGGTATAAAATGTGTTTGTATTACAATACAGTGTTTGTCTGTTTTCTTACACTGGAGAATGCTGCCCTCAACAGAACTGGATGCTTTGTTTTCTTAGATTTCATGCAACAGAAAATGTATTAGTGTTTCCCATGTTTTGTGCTGTTCCTTACAGAAAGACATGGACCTGCTGGACAGGGCTATTGTCAGGGGGGATTTAGTGCAGATTTCACCAAGGTAAGACAAATATTTGTTGGGGTTTTTGCTGGTTTCTACATCACACAGTCATCGTTTCTGTGGGGATTACATGCATCAGATTTGCAGAGTTTGTTTGAAACTGGTGACACACAGGCTCCTCAGCTCTGGCTACTGTTATGTGTTACAGGATGGGAGGGTTGTGCTTGGAGGACCAGGCAGCTTTTACTGGCAAGGTGAGCTCACAAGAATGTCGAACAGCATGGGATTTTTTTGCCAAGATATCTTTCCAATTAGATTTTTCCTTTTGAAACGAATCAATCCAGGGGGTCTTCTGGTCCAGTGGACAATGCAACAATTCACGCGCCAGAGTTCACAAGTCAACCTTTAACCCTTTGTTACCCATCCATCCTACAGGTCAGCTGATCTCAGCCACCACAGACGAGATTGTTAAAGCCTACTACCCCTCGTACTTTCTGCTCTCGGTTGCCGGGCAGATTCAGACACGACAGGTGCAGGGAAGCTATGATGACAGTTACCTGGGTGAGGAAATACACTTGAGTCAAAGAGGATTATTATGATGTATAATTAATACTGTGTTGTTGTATTGCTGTTTTGTACATTTTTACATTTTCTAGCAGCAGGACCTTGATTTAAGTCAGCTTGTTTCTCTGAATGCCTCCTAACATCAAGAGCAGAACGCCATGAAATTTGAATATTCATTGTTCCCAGAGGATAATATGTGAGGAGTTAGTGACCCCCTAACCTTTTACCTAGCAGTAAGAAAATCAAGGCAAAATTAAACAACTTGAAAACTAATACTAATACTTGAAAATTCTCTCATAGCATTCAATTTCCCCAGAGAAAGAATTATTTCCAGTTTGGACACTTCATGAGCTTTCCACCAACACCACCCTCATATCAAATTGTCATCTTTGTACACAGAAAACTGAAAAAAAAGTTGGATTGCAATAAATTTGCTGTCGACATTCAATCTCTTGCCCTTTCCTTGTGTTAAAATATCAGGCCAAAACACATGACTCATGACATGACTCAAGATATGTCATAATCTAAGGCAGATTGCCAATTAATGTACTGAGCGCAATCATGCTCCTAAGGGGATCAATTTATGACTATTACAACCTCATGACCCATTCTCTACTGCTATCCTCAGGACAAACCTTTTGCATTTTTAGCTCCACTTTAAGTAGCAAAATCAACAATATGTCATTAACTTCTTCCAAATGTTCAGGCTTTGGGGCTTTATGAGCTTTTTCAGCATCTGGGGACTGCTAGCAGAGGTTTAGGGGCCACACTGTTTGGAAGAAGTATAGGGTAGCTGACAGATTTGGGTGTGTTATGCTAGTAGTGGCTAATGTAGCCACGAGCAGTTAGCTTCAAGCTGACATGTGGAGTGGATTACAAAGGTCTGATAAACTAAACTCTTCTAACTCCACACCCACAGTTTTTCATTTTCAAACTTGTAGTCTTTAGCCCCAACTGACGCAGATAACACATTTCAATCTCTGACCAACTGTCGGCGGTTGTGTTGCATTGTGGGTGATGTAGGTGTCAGGTTTTGAAAAGCAAGGCGATAAATTTAAAAAGACTGCCATCTCCAGTTCTGCTGTATCCATTGTGAATGTCATTGAAGTGCAATGGTAAATTTGGTAAAGTACTGTTTTTACTCTTCACTCTTCATGTCTCCTGCAGGTTACTCTGTGGCTGGTGGCGAGTTCAGTGGGGATGATGAGGAAGGTGAGGGTCATATTTACAATACAGAGAGCCAAAATGCATGGCTGAGTACAGGGCTTGCTTACCCTGACCTCACGCTCGGTCTAATGTTTAACTGCTCAGTCTTAACACACGATTGTATTGTGACAGAAAGGGATTATCTTTCAGGGAGCAAGAACATTTAGAGACCCAGAGAACAACAAAACATAAATCAGTGTGTTAATGTGTTGTTGTTGTTGATTGGTCATTGGTCACGCTTTTTTTTTTTTTTTTAAATTTGAGGTAGTTATCAGTGTTTCTCTATCAGTTTTGAAATTACCCCTCCTAACCTTTTGCCCTTTGCTTTTCTTGTTACAGATTTCATCACAGGAGTTCCAAAAGGACTCATGCTATATGGTGTAGTAAGGACTCATTTTCATTCTACACCATTTCACAGTGCAAATACAAAACCTAAAAATATAGTACATGCAGTACTAATAAATAAAGCTAAAGAAACCTTAGTAGTATAATGCAATATCGTGTGTTTTGAGATTATGAATCACAATTTATAATCAGTAATGAGTTTGTCTGTCTCAACATAGGTGTCCATATTAAATGGAAGGGATCTGAAGTCTCTGCACAACTTGACAGGGGAGCAGGTATGTACACATCTGGCTAGAGATTTTCTGTAAGAGCCTGGCCCCTATTTTCATATGTGGGTACACATTTAAGGTGGCATGTATGAAGGGGGGGTTGAAGATGAAGGAATTTGCCCCATGGAGAGGAGGCCTATACCAAGGTCAGGGGTCTAGCTTACTGTATACACCGCTCATAGCCTCTAAAAGCTGCAAATCAAATCCAGAAACAGCAGACCAGGATAGTGTTCATTTTGTCACTGTATTGATTCAGCATGTGCTTTTGAAAAGGGAAGTACTGAAGCATGGTAGAGTTGGTCAGTCATACACTAGCTGAGCTTTTAGTCATATTGCTTTAAATATAACCCACAGATGAATCACAAAACTTTTGTTAGCAGACAGATTTATTTTTGGAAATGATGTGCAGATGACTCATTGTATATTTTAAGTTGTGAATTATCTACCACTGACCATCAACTTAACTTCCTGTGGAATTCCCTAAAAGTATTAAATGAAAAGATATTATATATGAAGAATCACATTAATAAATTGTGTAAAATATGTAAGTTATCAACAAACTGTAAAATAAATATTATAATTATTAAAACCAACTCTTTATTAGAAAATAACTACATTTTGTGGGACAGCATTTTTATTTAATTCTAGATATTTTATTTCAAATGCCCTTTCCTGGAAGTCTGCTTTAATTTTTTTAAAATAACAAATTTTATTTTAATTATGCCACTTTTCATAATGTCATGAAATGTGTAACCAGGAAAAATGCCATACTGAAATAAAGGCAAACTTGTGTCTTAGTTTGCATTATAAACGCATTTTTTAAGTCTATCTTAAAAGAATGACATGGTCATGCTACATGTGTGTCAACATTTATTCATTAAGTGTGTTTCCTTTGCACTTTGTTACATTTTATCAATACACCAAGCATAAAAACTTTGCTGAAATATAACCATTTTTGTTTCCACTCTGTGTTCCTTATCTGTAAATTAAAAACACATAAAAACTGGAGTTTGGAAACCTTAATTCTTACTGAGCTGTGGCAAGCAAATTGGTAATTTGATACTATATGCATGTAACACTTGGTTTCTCTAACTCATACAGCTGAAGTGTCAAATGAACTTTTGTTGAACTAAGTTGGGACTTACCAGCTAGCTGACTTATCTGTCACTTCCTTGTATAATTTAACAAGGCTTCATACTGAAAGATGTAGGAGCATGTGACCATGTACACATGGGAAAGCATGTGTCTGTGGTTGTGTTTTCAGTGTGGGAGGTCATCAGTAACTGTTCAGAGGTGTCACTCTCAGGGTGGAGGGCGCTGAGTAAACTGTGAAGTCACAGTGAGAGTGATCTGAGGTGCTCTATCTGGGTGAACGCTGGTCCCTGTGTGGTTGCTTGGATTGTGTAGTCAAAGTCAGCTGCAAAAACACACCAGAGACTCTTAGTGCAAAACGCCTTGTTGACTTGGTGATTGAAACCTTCAATTTTGTCACTTGTATTGCTATTTAACAATATTTTCTCTGTTCTCATGTTGTGCTTTACATTTGGACACTTTATACTAATTGGTTGTTTATGCCAAGGTAGCTTTTTATCTAACATCTCTGGTGGTATCAGACCATTGTGGGCAAAGTAGAAAAATCAACGAGCCAGAATGCTTTAGTTATTTTATCTATAAATGGTTTCTGAGTGCAGTTGGACCCTATGGTCAGTTTAATTTCTTGTATATCTTTTCCAAAATAGTATTTCATTGGTGTATAGAGCCTATAGCGTACTTTACAGAGGCTGTGTATAATAACGTGGACTGTTAAAGTTGTGCCTCAGTTTTGAACTCAGAAACGTGGAATTCTTACTGCTGTTACGTTGATGTTAGTGGTTTCTGTTAGCATAGTTAGTGAGCACAATAAGCTACATTTAAAGCTGCATTAATAAAATCTTTTGGCCACTACGGAGTGGCAGATTAAAGAACACAACACACAACATATTCACCCTTATATGGCAAATGTGTTCGCAAACAGTTGCTTATTTACACATGTAGCAGACACAGACCAACATTAGCATTCATTGTCACGTTTCTCTCCAGCTGACAAATGTGTCCAATATGACTTTCTTATTAACTGCTGAACATGTCTGACTAGCTGATAATGTTAGATATGTGACATGCTAACGTTTAGTTGCTAACTTTGTCTGCCTTAGCTGCTAGTTGCTAACCGTGTCTCTCTGCTGGTGCTGGGGTGGTAGTGCAGCTTATTAGAGCTTTATTTGCTGATCTGCCCACTGTTAAACAGTGAATCAAAATAGACTACACAAGTTGTGAGCCATTATTAGTGTGAGAATTGTTAGTATTAGTAAAAAAGCTTTATAGTATGTTTCAGCTCATTTTTTAGCTGTCTGATTGCCACGTTTAGATTAGAATAGATTAGTTTTTTAATTCACTCTCACTGCTCCAGTGTCATTTTCTGCCACAGTAGAGATGGGCACAATTAGAGACTAGCTGGTGAACATAGTGGGCCAGATATTTTCCTCTGGAGCTGGTAGAGGACAAAAACAGTGCTAAAAGAAAGTGAATATTGGACTTACACTTGCCATGAGCAGACAGAAACATAACTCCAAGTGAATTTTAAGGTTGCTTCAAAACTCTTGGATGTGTAAATAAGCAACTGTTGCTAACAGGTTCACCATATCAACTTAAAAGGTGATGATATATTAGTGTTTTGTTCAGTTATTGCAAGTTTAACAGCCACCGCTACTACTTTCTTGAAAATTTGATGACTGTGAAAATTGATCTGTGGTCAACTTTTCTTAGCTTGCTGATCACACCCCCCCTCTGATTAACATTAAGCTCTACAGGAAGTGTTGATCATATTTCTCAGAGTGTGAATGCATCTGGCAAAGCAGTGCTCCTATAGAGTATCACAGTGAATTTGAACTTTGAGCCTCAGTTTGATTTATGTTGATATGAGCTGTTTTGCATGTACGATACAGGAAGACAACCCCAATATTCAGTCTCCAAGGGTCTCCAAACACTTCTGTGTAGCTACACTACAAATCACTTTGAAGTGAGAGTTACCCAAGGACGTAACATGACCCTAATTTATCATATGTGGAATGAAATTAAACCGGAAAAACCCAAGCCCCATGGGACTTTTCTCAGAGTGAGTTTTAAAGGAGTTTGAGTCTCCGATCCCCAGACCCCCTACCTTCTCCTCGTGCTCACAGAAGCTCAAACACTGAGCTCCATGAAAAGGGAGAAGAGGAGACCCCGGGGGATTGTGGGATTGAGAGATTGAAGAGGAAAGCTTCTGGGGGAGGCAGTGGAGGGTACAAAAGAGAAAATGGACATGGAGGAAGAAAATGAAAGAAAAGAAAGGGATCTATGCACTGTGGTGTGATTGCAGGCTAACTGGGTCTTGTTTGTAATGTGTTCCAGATGGGGTCTTACTTCGGCTACGCGGTGGCAGCCACCGACATCAACAACGACGGGTGAGTGAATGGAGTGACGGTGAGGCAGATGATGGCAAAAAATGGGTGAAGGGAGGAAAATTGGGTGAAATTACAGAAGGTGGGGAGAATTATAAGCTAAAAACAAGACTGAAAGTGAAAGTTGAGGTCACTGAAACAGAGATAAAACATTTTGAAAGTTTCCCACAGTTGTTCAGTAACCCTGTCACTCTCTAATGTGTCATGACATTTTTGGAAAATTCTCTGTACTCTCTTTCTGTGTACAGTTCCTATAGTTAATATCACTTCCTTAACATTACAAAAGTTCAAGCGCACCCTGAGAACTTTTGTAATGTTTTTAGTGTGTCAGTGTCAGTGTATCCTTTAAAAATGAAAATCTTCCATTTCAAGTCTTTAGTGTGTTATATGCGTTGCAGCTATTTAAAGTATATTTAAGACCTTTTACTGGTAGTTGTACTGTATATACTGTTATTTTGAATTTTTATATTGCTATTATATATTGCCACTTTCTTCATTCTAACTCTCACATCTTTCAAAAGAAAGATATGAAGTATTCACTTTTATTTAATAACTCAGCTACCCTTGCTCCTGACCCCTGTTTCAAACACGATGTGTCATTCAGTGTTAACCTCTTAAAACCCACTGCGCAAAACTTTATTTTCCAGTAAATACTAGTGGAGATCCTTCGGTTTACTATGGTTTTCTATGGCTGGCTGAATTAAGGCGGTATATAAAAGAATATATTCCTTTCCTTCCTTTTGATTTTGATTGTCTTGACTGTCTCTGTCCTTCTGTGGTTACCTCTGTTCTCTCTCTCTTTCTGTCTCTCTCTCTCTCTCTTTCTCTCTCACCCCAACTGGTCGAGGCAGGCGACCACCCACCTAGAGCCGAAGGGTCTGTTCGAGGTTTCTGCCTCTTAAAAGGAAGTTTTTCCTTGCCCCCGTCGCCAAGTGCTCATGGTGGTACTGTTGGGTCTCTGTAAATAATGTTATAAGGAGTTCGGTTGTTTGGGTCTAGACCTGCTCCTATTTGAAAAAGTGTCCTGAGTTTTATGAATTGCCTCTATACAAATAAAATTTAATTGAATTTAATTGAATTTAAGTTTGAATATTTAACTCACTTGGCAGATGATTGTAAAACACATTTAAAACTGGACAGAAACAAAAGAACTCACCAAAAATTTCTTTGTTAGTGTTTCCACAGTTAGATGTGAAAATATTCACAAAACAGGCTGCAATAGCCACAACCGTCAAAATACGTCCAATAAAGTTCTTGTTTCTGCTGCTGACAGGCTTAGATTGTTATTTTAAGTGTCTGACAACATCATGGAAATAGATAGACATTTTGCTTAACCAGAAACAGCCACTTGCCAGACCAGAAATCGCTATTGCTCACCACCAGCCTCCATAGACAAAAACGGTAACATAACATTGTAACTTCATTCAAAGTAGACAGAAACAAAATAAAACTCACCAAAACCTTTTTTGTTAGACTATCCACTGTTCCAACAGACACCAACTCTGGTTTGGTTGAAATAAATCATTAATTCACCCACGTACATGAGAAACAACAGAAGCTTCAAGAGTCTCAGTTTCACCCAGAGCAGACTGGCTTTGTAAACAAACCACAGAGAGGCTGCGATAGTCACACAGGCAGAGGGAGTATGATGTCATTCTCTGTGGAGGACACCATTACCCAATATATATTTAGCAAATAGTTGTTTCTATATTTATGTTTTACATCTCATATATAGACTGTAACCTTTAAAGCTGCTGGGAAATACTGAAAGAGGAAAACAGAATGTTAAATCATTGCTAAATAAGACTTATAGGCTTATAAATACTTTGGTCTTAAAATATCTCTTTCTGTTTTGTGTCTATATCTCTACCCAAATACTTTTTCTTTTCCTTCCATCTTCATCCCCATTATTTGCCTCCTGCCTTTGCTTGCTTCCCTAGTTTGGATGACCTGGTGGTGGGAGCTCCAATGTTCATGCGTCGAGGGTCTAATGGGCATCTGGAGGAGCTGGGTAAAGTGTATGTGTACCTCCAGAGGGGCCCTCTGCTGTTGGAGCCAGGCCAGTCCCACCTCCTCGGTCGACAAGCCTTCAGCCGGTTCGGCACCTCGCTGGCTCCGCTGGGTGATCTCAACCAGGATGGATTCAACGGTAGGTGCGCTAATTGCAGCGTGAGTTAAATGTTAAATAATAGCCTAGATATTACTAGTACTATTACTCTACTATTACTAGATATCAGTGATTTTTATTATGTTTGCATATTTTGCTATTTATTTAACCATTAAATACTTTCTCAGACTAAATCTGTATATGAAGGTCTAATGTACTCCAAAGTTTGCTAACCTGCATTAAAAGTTAAAGTTTGATCTATCTAGGTTCACTGGAGGGTTTTAGTGAGCCATGATGGTTTTAATTAGGGCTGCAAAATTACTTTAAAGATTCTCATGCTGGCATCTTTAGATTGCTGCTTTTGTCCGACCAACAGTGCAAAACAGAAAGATATTCCATTTACAGGTAAATAAAGCAGAGGAAAGCAAATCCTTACATTTGAGAAGCTAGAACTAACACGTTTTCCTTTTGAAAAATCTTATAAATTACTTAATCAGTGATCAAAATGATTGTTGAATTTTCAGTCAATCTACTAATGGACTAGCTCAGATAGTATTCCAAATGTGAGAGATATCTTGGCAACACCAGCTGATTTACTGGCCGAGTCTTTGAAGTGTTTTATTCAATCATGATTGAACCAGAGTCCAAAGAAGTAAATCACCACAAAATAATATCTAAGTAACAATCAGTAACTTAACTTCTTAACCGGCCCACAAAACCACTGTTTGTCCAACTCTGGTCCATGTCAATTGTTGTAAGCTGCTCTGCATCTAAGCTGCAGTTATGTACTGTGCATACAATGTAGATACAAACACAGATGGCTATACAGGTTGTGAGAAAACATGAGATTCTTCACATAGTGTTGCTGTGTATAATCAGACATGGCCATCGGCTGTCCCTATGGAGGAGACGACCAGCATGGATTGGTTCTCATTTATAACGGCCACGCTGGAGGACTGATGGACACGCCCACTCAGACGCTCTCTGGCCAATGGGCTTTCAGCTCTTTTCCTGCCAGTTTTGGCTTTGCCCTGCGAGGCAACAGAGATCTGGATCAAAACGGCTACCCAGGTACTGCAGAAAGTATTCCAACACCAGGTGTCTATTAACACCTCATGCTACTCTTTCACGTCTTCATTTAAGACACTTTCCCTTCTTGCAGATCTGATTGTTGGTGCTTTTGGGGTTGACAAAGCAGTGCTATACAGGTATGTTAAAGCATGTGGGAGTTTGATAACAAATATATAGACCATTGTTTCTATTTTTATTCTTTCATGGTCTGTGTCATCAAACAGGGCTCGGCCAATAGTGAGTGCCAGTGCGTCTCTCATAGTGCAGCCGACCATGTTCAACCAGGAGGAGAAGACTTGCGAGCTGTTCACAGGGAATGAAACAATTGCTGTGTCTTGGTATGGATGTCAACTAATTCCAGCTCCACTTATATCTTAATGGGAAGATTATAGACTGTGTGATCCAACATACAGTATTTGTCATTGTAAGAGCAGTTAAAGAGCTCTCTGACAGCAACAGAACATGGAAAGTCTTGCAAATGTTATGTAACACACATCTTAGTTTAATTCCAGCTTTCCAAACTTTACTTCACGAGAATGTCAAATGACTTCATGTTTGCCAGTTTCCTGTCCAATAGAGAGTGCCAGTGTCCACTCTGCTCTAAACTACAGTAAACTTAGCTCCAGTGGGAAAAAAGGGGAAATTCACCCCACTTTCAATCTCAATAAAGCTCTTTCCACGAGTTCAGTTTAACCGTGGAATTAAATGTGGAACATTTTTAGACTGCTGTGAGAGGCATTTGCCAAATTGGCTGGCGTTTCAGTATCTGTTCCGTAGGTTGATACAAGTCTTTTTTGGTGTTTATTGGTGTTTTTGCTGCCGTGGAAACAAAAAAAGATGAAGGGAGAAAGTGGTTGTTGAAAAGGTTGGAAAAGGGTTGTAACTTTCTGGACATGAATGAGTTACTGTTGGGCATTAACAGGACTTCTTAGACAGTAGGAAGTTACCCTCCCTTCATGTGAGCATGTATACGATCACATACGGTACACATATTTACATCTGAGCAGAACCACTGTAATCAACAAAGGGTGATATTTTTTGGTTACAGCTGGGAATCAACTTTTCAGCTTCTGAAACAATTTATTTTTGGTCGATATGCTCAGAACGGTGAAAAACTAGGTGCATGAACTGGAACAGAGCTGGTTCCCTGTTGAAAAGGCCTAAAAGTGCGGCGACTGCCTATGTTCTCTGAAAGCAAACTGGAGGTTTGTTTCGTGTACTATTTATATGTACTGTATTCATTGCTCCTGTTCTTGTTTTTTCTGAGTTCAGCCAAATGTAACAAAGGGGCTCTTTCTTGTTGTTGTGAGGTTGCCATCTTGTTTTGTAGTGTACACGTGTGGAACACAGCCACAGCTGTCCACAGGTTCCCCCAATGCTTTAGAGAGTTAACAGTAAACCGTGAGGTTGATATCAGTAAGATAAAATTACAAAAAGTACTGGATTACATACCGAATAGTTTTCCTGTGAATCCCTCTTGCTTGGGTAGGCAATCCGAATCCAGTGCGAGAATGGTGGACTCTGCCCCTACCAATTGAAACAACTATTTAGTGAGAAAATTACTGAATATAGATACAGTAAATGACCAGTGTGTAGGACTTAGTGGCATCTAGTAGTGAAGTTGCAGAATGCAACCAACTAAATACTGCTTGCCTTCCAAGCATGCAGGAGAAATCACGGCAGCCCTTTCTAGACCCAGTGTTTGGTTTGTCCATTCTGGGCTACTGTAGAAAGAAACATGGCAGTTCAACATGGTGGCCTCCTTAAAAGAGGACCTGCTCCCTCTGTATAAATGAACAGCTCATTCTAAGGTAACAAAAACAAACACAATGATTGTTATTTTCAGATGATTGTACACTAATGAAAACATACCTTGAATATTGTATATCCTCCATTTCTACCAAGTAGATCCTAAAATGTTACACACTGGAACTTTAAAAGGGTATTATATAAAAAAATCTTAAATAGTTTCATTGTGTTTGAATTTCGGAAAATGTTAAAGATTAAAGCTGAAAACTAAAAAAATATATACAGAATTACCTTAAATCAGTGTAAAGAAATCTCTATAAGCTCAGTGTTAAGTTTTTTTTCTGCATATTTGTGTCTTTGTTCAACCTCCAGTGTCAGCATCAGTTTCTGCCTGCTGGCTAATGGGAAGCACCTCCCCTCTCATCTAGGTGAGGCACGCAGACACACACACACACACACACACACAGACTCACACACAGATGGTCCCTATTACCTTGCTTTCTTTTTGTAGCCACAACTATGTTGGACCTCACTGTGGTCAATTTGGCAGTTAAGATCAAGATAAAAGAACAATCATGTAAATACAGGGTAACTTGGTGGGCTCCAGCAGTTTAGAAAAGTGTGTGTGTGTTTATTTGAAGTGCGTGGGTGTGTATTGTCTGTGTTCTCTGTATAGTTTTTGTCATGTGGGCCACAGCAATGCTCTCTGTGTTTCACTATACTGTGCAGAGATCAAAATAGCACATAAAGGCAGTTTACCATAATAATGTTTACCACTGTGTGTGTATGTATTTGCATGTGGTGAAGCATGCATATAATATGTCTGTGCAAATATGTGCTTCTGTGCCTATGCATACATTACATGCATTTTTGTGTTTAATACAGGCATGTACAAACTGGTATTCACTGTTTTCTTGCCTTGTGTGTGTATATTCTCAAGGCTTCGTGGTGGAGGTTCAGTTAGACAGTGTGAAGCAGAACCAGAAGGAGTCCATCAGGAGGACTCTGTTCCTGGACAGCCAGCAGCCCAGTTTGCTGAAGAGCTTCAGCCTCGCCAACAGAGAACAATCATGCCATGACACCAAGATCTATCTACAGGTCAGTCATATCAGTTGTTTTTCCACCTCCGTGTTGAGCAGATTGGATGCTACATTTTTGTAATTTTTTTGCAAATAACAAAATACTATTTTGGCATAATTTCTATCAGGAGGATTGATTGATTGTTAAACAGGACCCTAGCAGCTCTGTGAGGCTGTACTTTACTTACAGCTGTTTCCAGATGCACATGAGCAGTCCTATGATAAATAAACAGATTTTTCCTTTAATTTCAGTCAAATTTTATGCTGCTGTGTTAAGACGAAAAACAAAGACAAGTGTTATCTACTTAACTATTTCTCAGGCCAATCATCTCAAGCCTATGCCTTTTATATCGTTCACAAATTTTCCGGTACTTAATCCTGGCCCTCCGGAGCCGGAGTCCTGCTGGTTTTCATTCGAGCCATCTAATCAGAGACTATTTTGCACCTGCAAGGCCAGGTGAATGTAATTAACTCGCTGGTAGGACAGAGGTTAACTTCATTTCCTAATAGTCAGGGTTTGATGTTGCTGTTTGAAGTGCTATTTGAGGTGAAACTACTACAGTACCAATCTTTTCATCACTCAGTGGTGACCTGATCAAAGGGAATGTCTGCCAAAAACACTTAAGTCATATGTGTAGATGTTCTCTGTAAGGACATAATGATCAGAGCACTTTGCTCTTTGACAGGATAAGAGATGGTTTGGGTAGAAACTCACTTGTCAGTCAACATTTATCTGTTTGTACATACATTTTTCTTCTTCTTACTCTCTTTAAAGGGGCCACATCATTGTGGCTGGTCCAACAGAATTTATGTCACATCTTAGAGAAACTTAAAACAGACAAAATCCTACATTTAGGCCAATAGTTGCTCTAACATCTGCTTTTCATTTTTTTTGTACATGCAATTGGAACAGGGTTTCACAATAATCGGTACTAAAAGTCTGGAAATGTCTACCCTGACAACAAATCTCTAACCCCTCATCAGAAGTGTCAGCTTCTTCCAGAATATCGAGATCTGACAAAACAGCACATTAATGCACCAGATGAAGGTTTACCAATCCATGGGCACGATAGACAACATGTGCATTTGTGTGTTACGGCCACCGGTTTCACATCAGTTCTTTATATAGTTGCATCTCTCTCTCTCTGCAGAGTGAAGAGGAGTTTCGGGATAAACTCTCTCCCATTTACATCAGCCTCAACTTCAGTCTGGATCCTCATGCCCCAGTGGACCAGCACGGCCTCAGACCAGTTCTAAATTATCAGACAGAACAGCGTATAGTGCAGAAGGTATGTATATTAACTCATGAAACCACATTAAGGATCACACAGTAAGTTACGTCATGTCCTGTAGATCAGTGTGTTCCAAATCTTTTTAAACCAGGACACCCTTTCATCAAGACTGCATGGCGTCAAAAGTAAACTGTTGTGTGATTTGTTTGTGTATTTAGCCCACTTTAGTATTAGTAAAGGCAATATGCAATGTGACATTAATTTGTTTTTGATAAAAAACAGAATTTGTGTTACTTACAGACACCTTATGAGCATTTCTTTGGATTTACAGTGACAGATATTTCCATCTCTCGCTGTAACAGGCACTATTTCACCGGCTGTGAACCTTAAAAAAAGAGTGTTGTGTTACTATGACAACCAACAACGTGTGATATTACGTCATTACTCTTAGCCATGGTATAACTGCTTATTTAAAAGGATTTCCCCTAAATATCCATCCTGGAAATCCGTGAAGCACTGCTCTGTTTCAGCTCTTCTTGGAAGTCCAACTTCCAAAACCATGGAGTGTGTCTCTGCAGCGTTGTAAACTGTGTCTATATATTACATTACCACACTAAACATCCAGACCACGCCACTTATATGGCCACACGCCTTGCATTTTATGAACTAAACAGATAGTCACCACAACGATTACCAGTGGAGGGAGAACAGATGGCGTGATGAATATGTTCAGAAAACCTTTACCAAACAATCTCGAATCATATACAAATGCAAATGCTGTTACACACACACACACACACTTGTTATGGAGCTTGACTTTATCTCTTACTACAGTCTCCGACTGTTTACATTATGCATGCAGGAAATATTTGCAGGTTATAGCCTAGCCCGACATTTTAAAACTGACATCAAAAGTATGTCTCCTCTATAGTGCCAAACCCCATATGGTTAGAGGTTGAGGGTCAGCCTTGATAGAGCTAGAGCTGATTACTGCACTCTGCTCTCCATTGGTGGGGTTTTTTAGTCGCCTATACGACAACTTGGAAGGGTTATGGAGGACCGGCGAGTCATGGCTGTGCAAAAACACAGAGGGAGGACTGACAGCCCCGTTTGGGTGGGGCGGCGCCCGGCTCTTAGACATCTGGTTGTGGTTTGTTTATGTATGTTGCCAGTGGTCTCCTCCACCAGGCGAGAGCCAGAACCTGAAAACGTGCACATGTTTATGTGACTAATATAAGGTGAAGTGAGTGTGTAATGTGGGCGTGTGAATGTGTGCATGACATACTTGTAAGTGGATGTTTTTAACAGAATACACTTTTTTTTCAGCCTGGAATCCTTGAAGGCAACACTTCAAATTTTATCGGTGGTTCTCTTGTAGGAATTAACAGGCTTTACGTCCATTTATCAGTTAGCCTCAGTGATGAGAACATTTTCCCTGTAGACTTTGGGTCCTGATGCTTCATGCTAACTCTTTAGCTTCACTATATAGACCACAGTTGTGGACAGCCTAGCTGCTGTGTCTCTCCAGTTGAGTGTATTTGAGGGATCTACTCCATCACTACAGTAAATCAAAGGATTGTAGGAAATAGTGGTTTTGTTGCTATCAAGCTGTTCAATTTTTGATCATGTGGCAGGGATGTAGCATTGCATGGTAGTGTAATGTTAAATTATTGCTAGGTGTGGTCACAGTGCAACAGGCCACAATTCTGACCACACCTACAGTTAAAATTATACAGCGTAAGATTTTCATGATGTCAAACCCTATTATTCACACTATTAATGGGGTTTTCACTAATAGCCGTTTAATGTATTTATATTCTGTAATTGCCTCCCTATATGGTAGTTTTTATTGCTAATGGCGGAGTCCAGTCCGCCTTGCTGCTCACAAATTGCACAACCACTTGGTTTGAAGGTTTTTCCGGTGATTTTAAATTCGGACTGTAGTTTACATCAAATAAAAAAATGTTTGGGATCATAAAATTACATTTATTCTAATATTCTGTCATAATTAACAACAATTCTTAATGTTTAATATCTTTTAGGTAGAAAAACACAATGTACAAACATACAGAGGCAGTCGATTCAATTTACTTTATCAAGTTTCCCTGCTGGACAAAAGATGTCTCCTACTTCACTGTAAAATCCATTCTCAGTGTATGTGCACTGTTAGCTTCTACATCACACTGTACAAGTTGCATACTGGACCAGGAGTGACTTCCCAACTATTTATTAAGATTCTTAATTTGGTAGCGCTTTACCGTCACTGAACGTTGTCTTGGCATGCAGTGCCACAGTTAATGGTCTACCAGGTATGATTCTGATGTCTGTGTTTTCATTACTTCATGTCTTGGAAGTTGACCAAGAGGTCAACAGTGTGCTGTATTCCTTTAAGAGCTGAGGGGAAACACGGGTCACGTGGATCAAACGTATGGGGAGATGAAGAGATGAAAGTGAAAAAGAGATGAAAAGTGGTTAGAAGGGAGGGAAGATAAACTGGGACTCATCACTTGATCTTAGTAAGTCTATTACAGAGTGTGTGCGCTCCTGTCTCTGTGGTGTTAAATGGCCAATAGCCGTTTGAGTCCGGAGTGAATATAAAACCAGTGACTTGAATGAGGAGTCTCCACTGAGACACTGTTAACCATTGCCAGGCTGATTCTTTGCTCTCTGTAGCCCTGCGTAGCATTCTTTTGGAATCTAATGTTTCCCATATGTTGGAGAGATGAGCGTATGGCAACAATGACATTATGGAGCTACATGGAAGAAATTTTAGAGACAGAGAAGGAGAAAAGAGAGAATAAAGCAAAAAGCTCAAGGGACACAATGGAAAAGACAATAGAGTCAAATCAAATCACATTTATCTTTTACTGTGGTTTTCACCAAGTCATCTGTCACGTAAGAGTAAAGAGCAGATTAAGCACTATTCTCTTTTAAATGTGAGGTTTTCACTCTTTTTGATCGAGGCTTTTCCGCAAAAATGTAATAATTGTTTAGATGGAATTCATCATCCTTTCATTCTCCTTAACCTTCACCATGTTTTCTCTATTCTCCCTTTTCTTCTTTCCCACATGTAAAGTGCACATTTCTTTTATCCTGCAAACATGAAAGAATGCTGTTTTCACACAACTTTTTGGCATCTGGTTGTTGCAAATATTGTTACAGTTTTGTGCATATGTGGAGGATATGTATAGTCTATATCCTGTCTTATCCTTTCATTAAATCATGAATCTAGTGAGCTGTCTTCTGTAAACATACACTTCCTCGAGACCATACCTTTTGACTCTGTTCCCTGGATACCTCTCTCTCTCTCACCCATCATAACCATCCCTCGCTCCTCCCTCTTCCTCTGTTTATCTCTATCCTTCTCTCTCTCTCAGGCCCAGATTCAACTCGATTGTGGAGAGGACAACATCTGTGTCCCTGACCTCAAGCTGGCTGTTTATGGGTGAGAGGAAATCACCTTTCTATTGCTTTACCTGATTCAACAAACAAAACTAAAACCCTCCAGTCATGCAATGTTAAGCGGCCACAGTCCGTCTGTGACTGATAAACGCAACAGAGATTCAGCCTATACCAAGGAAAGCTCTTATATTCGGCATGAGAAACACCCAGTGTGACAAATGGGTCTTTCCTCTGCTGAACTTGAAGTGATTCATTCTATGTTTTTGGTTAGTATGGAATAAACACAAGAAGAACTGCATAGTTAACATAAGCAGTAGTTGCAGTCTTGGCTGAACAGACAAAGTAAACAAGACCCTTACAGGAACCACACAAAAATAAATGGCCACAGCACAGGCCACACTGTTTAAAGCAGTATAGTTTAGTTGTTTTGGCCATTTGGGGGAAGCAGAACCAGCTGTGAACTTAACATTATCATAAAGGCTAACATGTCGGCAGACAGTTGCGTGCACATTCAGCAGACATGGAGCAGGATTCAATTGGAGTCGTTTTTCTAGCCATCCAACCAATGTAAGTCTATTTACTCTTTTTTTGCTCTGTTTTGGTCTCCACCAACCCCTGAGAGAAGTACCTAGCTCTTTATTTGCTAAATGCCCTATTTCGTTCACCTGCAGTGGGTTGAAAACAGCTGCCAACTGCAACTGAAATCAAGGTTGAATAAGGTGTTCAGAGTGAACCAAAACAATGAGCTGAAAGACACTTAAAGGGTGCATACATACTGCATTACTTTCTATATTGGATGTATTTAAATCTTCAAAGGTTGTTTTTTGTATCAGTTAAACCCTGTGATGTTTTTGACCACTAGAAGTGCTATGACTTTTTTGGTAGGTCCCTGTTTTGATGTACCACATGCCCACACATCAGTAAATAAATCCTAAAATAAATGTTAAGTGCCTTTATACCTTTGTACCTTTAAATTAAGCGTTAGTTTGTCCAGTCGGTTGACTAGTGATAATCAACTATAAATATTGTTGCTGTGGTTATCTGCACAGTTTACTTTATCTGCAGGGAGAGAAAGTTAGTTTGGTAAAAGATAATCAAAGAGAGGAAGCTTAGGAATGAAATTCCAAGGAATAAACAGGAATCTGGGAATCATTTAATACACAGATGATAAGACACTGTTTACAGCTCAAAACAAGCCTACACTGGAGTACAGATATGGCGAAAAGATTGCTGACTCTTGGCACACTTACTTATTACTGTTAATTAATCATGTATCCTTGTTTGTGAATGGACATCAGCCAAATATTTGGTGCTGTCTCAGTCCATTCACAAAGCGAACACACGCTCAGTCTCTCTCCTTCCAGCCAGCTCTATGAGGAGTGTTTTGCATTAGATGGCCATGTGATTTCTCTTAGCTGCAGAAATACAATCAGAGTGCAAAGTCTCTCGTGAAAACTCAAAGATCTGCATTTGTAGTTGCCATGGGACTAAACTCGAATGATTCAGCACTTTTGTTAAACAGAATTTCCCTTCACTGGCATACTATAAGACATAGCACCTTTCACTCGCTACTCGCTAGCCAAGAATTTGCAAACAGTGGGATGTTTAACATTCACAACCCAGAGGTCTGTCACTGGTGTTTGAGTTGTATCCTCTGGCTTCAATTATGCTTTTATGAGCTTCATGATCCACTGTTATATTTTCCCAACAAATGAATCTCCACTATATTCAGTCCGTTCTCAGCATATGCTCAGTGTTGGTGTTAGGGTATCAGTGTTGCTTCCTCTGCATTTGCTAAACTTGCCTGGGCTTAATTGAATTCATCTGGTGGTTGTCTTACCTAGCGAGGGGTCACTGCGTCCAGACCCGCTGACGGCGGGGGGAGGGGAGGAGGAAGCAGGGAATGAAAGAAGAACCCCGATTCAGACCCTCAACCAGACTCCTTTCTCCTCTTTCTGCTCAATAGAAACATGAATTTACTACCACAAAGTGTTGGGGGAGGGCTGGATTCGAAGGGTGTCGAGAGGATTTATCACTACACCACTGAAAGTGTGTTTGCACACAGGGGCGTCACTGTGAACATGCAGAATAAGGTGGGGGTCGGTTTCCTGAGACAAATCACAGTGATCAGATTTGGGTCATTTCCCAGGTCGGTCATAGACAGATATGCAGGAGAAAATGGCCTTTGGGGATTGACTAAAACAGAGATGCATTGTCTGCAAAGACTTCACGTCCCTGCTTTTCATTACATTTTACAATTGCTTCTTGGGCATTTTTGGACATGCCCTGCACCAAGTCACTTCAAATGAACGCAGCACAATCGAAGCTGTGCCAGCGAACAGAGACTGAAAATGGAAGCTGCTGTTTTCAGTCATGTTGACTGCAGTTGATAAAGAGACTTTTCAAGACTGACAATAATGGCCGTGTAATAGATACTCATGGGAAATGCCAAAAATAAAGACTAAAAGTCTACAACCATCCTGATGGCTCTGTGAAGCGTTGCTTTCAACTAAATGCTAACGTCAGCATGCTAAGATACTTGAAATGACAATGCTAACATACTGCTCTTGAGCAGATATATTTACCATATATACCTTCTTAGTTTAGCTTGTTAGCATGCAAAGACAAAGAGCAGCTGAGGTTGGTTATTAGTTTTTCAGGTATTTGGTAGTAATGTATTGAATAAATTGTGCCCTGATAGTGGCACTAAAAGAAAAATGAAGGCATCACCAGTTACAATTCAACCTGCGTGTAACAAATTTCATGACAAGCCATCTAACAGCTGTTTTAATTCTGGATGTGGTGGACTGACAGACCGACTCACCACCAGTGTCCACAGAGAAAACATATAATTTTACCTCGAATATCATTGTAACATCATAACTTCATTCAAAATGGAAAAAAACAAAATAAACCTCACCAAAACAATCTTTGTTAGTCTTTCTTCTCTTCCAACAATCACCAACTCTGGTTTAGTCTAAATAAATCTTTAATTCACTGATTTAGAGGAAAAAGACCAGCAGTTTTTGTCACTTTACACAGCTGCACATGGAGCAGACCGGCTGTGTAAACAAACCACAGAGAGACTGATAGCAGCACAGGCAGAGAGAGGAGGGAGAGGGAACACTATAACTCTACTATATCTTTAGATAGCTTATAGTTGTTTGCAGCTATATTCATATTTTAAATCTCATATATATTACCTTTAACCTTGATAAACATTTCAGACTCCATTATGAGTTCTGTGTTTATCTTTTATACTCCAACAGAAAACAGAAACTCTGCCTGTATTAAAGGAGCATTTAATGGCTGTCCAAGCTTTAAAAAGTGGATCAGTTATGATTGTGAAATATTCAGAAATATAGTGATGATGTTGTGGTTCTCCTCTCTCAGTGACAGAACAGAGGTTTACCTGGGTGATGAAAACTCCTTGAGCCTCACCTTCCATGCCAGGAACGAGGGAGAGGGGGGGGCTTACGAGGCTGAGCTCTACGTGGTGCTTCCCCCAGAGGCCGACTACAGCGGGATAGCACGCAACAATGTGGTGAGGCTGTCACTGTAACTACTTTAGCTACTGGTAATATTTATTTCTTCATTGCTCAATTATTATTCTCCAATGTGCGGCAACTTTCGTTTATCATTTTATTTTTGTTAGATTTTCAAAGCAACTGATGTGGAAAACCCACATTGTGTACATTCCCACCAGCCTCTGAGAAGAATAAAAACACAGTATAAAAATATGCCCCAAAACAAAACAAAACAGGAATCATCTCATGGCAGAAAACTCATTGTGAACCTGGTTATAAAAGCAAGACAGGCAACACATTTTAGGTCATGTGTTTAGTTAACTAGTGAGAGTGAAAGAGCTGACAGTATTATGTTTTTGTGTCTTTTGCAGAGCTTGACTCAGCTGACGTGCAGCTATGAGGCAGAAAACCAGACCCGCTATCTCGTGTGTGATCTGGGAAACCCCATGAAGTCTGGTACAAGTGTAAGAGCCAACAAAGCCCACATGTTGTCTTTGGCCTTTTTCAGTTTTTGTGTCTCACTGCAAAAAAAAAAAGTCAAATTGTTCTTGCATGGTTTTTACTTTGACCTGATAAAACATACAAAAAAGCATAACAGACCTATAAAGAAGTCCAAGCTCTATTGTTTGTGTTTATAGTGAGAAAAATTTATCTTTTTGACATTTGACAAGCAAAAACTGCCTTTTATTACAACGGGTAGAATCAGTTGGGCCATTTTTAGATCTCCTGAAAGCTGTGGAGGGAATGTAGAAAAGTAATAAATGCAGGACATCTCTTTCATTCTTACATTATTAATTTCTCATGTTCCTCGGATGAATTGTATACATTTCCTGTGTGTTATTTCCTAGTTATGGGCCGGCCTTCGGTTCACTGTGCCAAGACTGAAGGACACTCACAAAACTGTAGTGTTTGAGCTCCAGATACGAAGGTAAGTTACTTTTCAGTATGCAGTACTGTATGGTTAGATAGGTTGAAGTAAGTTAGCAAGTATTAAATGATATCTTGACAAAAAAAAAGTTTTACTGTTTCGTAAGCAATGAATAAATGCTACTCCTACCTGTCTGTTGTAGTAAAAATGCAAATAACTCCGAGAGTGAGGTGGTGCTGTATGAGCTGGAGGTGGCTGCTATGGCTGATGTCATTCTGCAGGGGTGAGTCTTTCACTACATCATTACATAACCATTATATAATCAATATTGGGTTCCTGCCTAACTCTGTGTTTTCCTGTTGCAGTGTCTCTCGCCCAGACAAAGTCATCTTTCCCCCTCCCAACTGGAGTTTTAGTAAGAGCCTGAGGGAGGAGAAGGACATCGGCCCCGAGGTTCAGCAGGTCTATGAGGTACAGGTCCTCACTACATCCTTTGAGATTTTAGGATTTTTACAGTTCTTTCTGCTCTCCCATATCTGTTTGTTTTCAGTGATGTTTTAAATTAAAGGGTGGTTAGACTATGAGACGTTAGCTGGTTTCACTCACTCTTTATTGAAAAGAGAACAACATACAGACTACTGTGGGATGTAGCCAATGCCAAAATAACAAAACCTAGGCTAAGGCTGCTCCTTGCCCTAGCGTCTCACTTCATCAACTCCCACTTGTAGGCTAACATAAGCTCCACCAAAGGACTAGCAGGAACAACAACCGTCCTCCTTAACTCTCTGTCAAACAACGGTATGCTATCTCACACAAACCGCTGAGAGAATTCTAAGCACATCACACGTTCACTGACATCCTGGAAAACAAGTAACTGTAATAAAACAGTTAATTTCTGCCCATAGGTTAAAATGTTAAACTCTTAAAAATACATTTAATAACATGAAGTTTAACGCAAACATGGTCAGCCCCAGTCCGTTACATTTCCTTGTTTTTTTTTGAATGGTACTGTAGTTCCGCTTTCTGTTATGATGCAAATGTTATAACTTAAAAAAAAAGAAACATGAGATTCTGCACATCAATAATTTCCCTACAGTACCCAAGGTAAACACAAATCCATTATTTTGTAATCAAAT